ATGCCAAAATACAGGCATTGCAGATATGGAAAATGGAAAACTATAATAATTAAGTATTGAATACAAACAATTGCACTCGTTGTTAAGTTGTATTGCTGTGAGTTGAGAACATTAATCATAAAGTAGAAACAATTTTGCTTAGTCCTCCTTTACATTCAGCCAGTTGCTAAAACAGTCCAGTCTGCTGACATTATTAGGGGACAATGTGGGCCTTTTCTTTTAAATGATGTGACCTGAGAGTGAGAACAGTCTTTTACAGGCAAACAAAAGCAAATAAAAAACACTCTTCCACCAGTCCTTACTTCATATTCTCATCCAATATTTGTCAAGGGGGAATGATCGATATGTTGCTGAATGAAAGTGAAACTACCGAACTGCAGTTAAAGTCGAAAAATTAAAAATGAAACACACAAAAATACATGAAACTCTGGAAACGCCGGATAGGCTAGTGATGTGACATTAAGGCCCAATCCTACATCTATTTTTGCATCCCTACCCCATCCCCTTGGCCCTTAAAACAGAGTATGAAGGGGTAGGGCTTAAAAATTTACCACTTTAATAATTGGGACACCACTACAGCACTTGCACACGTCATCATATGTCATCGCGATCTCTCGCTTCAGATCAGACGATCGCGACTGCTGTAGTTATTGCAGTCATGTTATTTTATGGTATTTATCTTCAGGAAATGACTGAAAACATATATTATGTCACCATAACGATAGATTGTGGCAATACGATCCTAACTATACTGTGCATTTACAGAGTGGCCATATTTATCTATGTAAACACACCAAAAATAACATTAACATTATAGCAGACACTGTAAAAAGCTCATTCCCAGCCACTCCTTTCTTCTTCTTCCTCTCCCTTTGTTTGCTCAACATTTTTTCTACACTTTCTAACTGGAGTCTCAGGTGGTGCAGTTTTACATTACATGTTTGAAGTAACCATGAATTACTGTAAACTTCTCAACACAAAACACAACATTTCCCCTTTTTCTCAAAAGAATAACCTTCTCTAAATATATCAACTTGTGGCGGCGCAGTGCTGTCGCCTCACAGCAAGAAGGTCTATTTAAAAAGCAAAAAAAAAAAAAAACTACTTTAATAGTTGAATAAATAATTCCTTTCTACAAGCAAAAAATAAATCCCAGCAAAATATACTGATGCTTACTATGCTAAAGTAGTATTTTAAAAGCAAAACCCAACTTTACCTTTGATAAGTGATGTAATAATTCATTTCTAATAGCAACAAATGAATCCAAGCAAAACAAACAGATGTTTAACATGATGTAAAAATTTATGCGCTGTATACCGCCATCCTCGCTGAATATTGAAATGCTTTCAACTTGACATAATAAAAAGTTTATTATTGTTTTACTATCAATTAATAAAGCATATAAACCTCTGTACTCCAGTTACTTTACAATTGGATGCAATATACTGAATTGTTGCCTTTTCCAGAAGGTTAAACGGCTTGGGAAGAAAAAAAAAACTGTGAAGACGACTAGGAGCTGAGTCCTGATGCGATTATGAGAAATCCTCCATCAAGTAAAGACGGTAAAATATCAAGCGACACAGGCAAGTAAAGTCTTTTGAAGAGCATATTGTAGGTTAGACTCCCAGGGAGTCTATGGGCTGTATCATACAACCAGCGCAATGTGGCGCAGGGTGCGACGCAATTGTTGTTTGCTAGTTTCAGCTTGGCTTGTTTTGACGTTTTGCGCCACGCTGTTTAAATGCATTTGCGCTTATATGTGCGCCCATAGGCGTTCTGGTCGAAAAAGGGAGGCGTGTTGAGGTGTATTGCTGGTGCGTTGCTATTTTGAGAAACTATAATAGATTTTTCAATAGACCAGAACAAAGTCTATCTAAAGTCCAGCGCAGAGTGCGTTAGTTGTGCGCCTCGCTTAAACACTGCTTAATACTGTGATGATGAGTCAGACGAAGTGGGATCCATTTTTAGCGTCTTTATTGAAAACAACACAAATAAAGAAGCAGATGTACGTTTCACAGACGAGATGATCAAATCAGGGAACTCACTCAAAGTCGGGTCACAAGCAAAGTCGTAGGCAGGCAGCAAAGATACATAGACGAGGATACAGGCTAGGATCTGGGCAGGCGGCATAGAATCACAGGTACACAAACAGTCCGGGTCGGCAACAGTAAACAGTCAGATTATGTGGGGAAAACACTTGGAATTGAATGCAGAGCAAAACAAGACTTCGCACAGAATGACAGGCGAGAAGGGCTTATAAGCGTGTGTGTGTGTATGGGTTTCAGTTGGACGGTAATCAAGGTCCCGCGGGGTCTTGTGGGTAATGAAGTTCTTATGACTTCAGTAGTCTGGCGAGCGGGACCTCTGCTGGTTGGTAAGGGGATTAACTGGGACCGAGTCTGTGACAAATACACACAAGATATAGAGCAATACGCAAATATCTATACAAATGAAAAGAATTAAAATATTAAGGATATATATAGGATATAAATATAAACAATTTTAATATTACAAAACATATTATTTTCTAGCCTACATAAATATAAAAAAACACTGCCTTCATGCTTTCTTTATCTCGGGAGGCTTTTTCAGTTCATTCATAACAATTTGCTTTTGTATAATGTTATTATTATTAGCATTATTATTTATTATATCCATATTTATATTTGTTTTATTAAAAACAAGCTTAGATTTGTCCACCTGCAGGTTTTAGACCATATGGGGCACAGCATGTTTTAGGATATAACTTAGGTTTTTGAGCACACTTCGTTATTATTTTTCATTTATTTGTTTGCTGGAAATTAAAACTGAATTTAGAAATAGTTTTGAAACAAATCTTTGCGCTTAACAAACAAAATTATTTATTTATAGGCTAATTGATGTCTGTGCGTAAAGGTTTCCCTATCCAAGAGCGAAAGTGAAAGTTAATAATTTATCTCTCATTCTCGCACTGTAGATGCTCTGTTTAACTGATTCTTGCAAGTGAAAGGTTCAGTTTTTCCACTTACACTTACTTTACGTCCTGTAAATAGCAAATGTGCAATGGCGCAACACACCTGACTCTTAAAGGGAATGGGAGATGAGACTCTGATTGGTTTATTCTTAAAACTCACCTATAACTCATCAAGAAAATAGGCTCAACCCTTTTAGACCATGCGCCACGGCGCAAAGAGAATTTTTCCGTCCTCATATAAGCAAAAGTGGATTCTGAAATGCCCTGAATGCGTTTGTGCCCTGCGCTTTGCACTTTTCGCATGAACCGTCAAAATAGAGCCCAATGTGTGTAAGAGTAATGTAGGAACTAGATTTTCTTTCAAATATACTTTTCACATATGGCACAGCTAGGGCTGGGCGATTTTTCCGATTTTTCCGATTAATTCGAATTTACGTTTTAAGACGATTTAATTTTGAATCAAATAGAGAAATCGCGATAAAAAAAAATAAAAATTTAATACATTATAATGGCAATGAAGCAGAAAGCACACCAGAATAGCCTCTCGGCGACGCCGAGGTGTGCGACCTGCTTGACTGCCTGTTAAAGCATAAAGTCATGTAGGATTTTACTTGTTGCATTAGTCGCAGTCCCGACTGTGTGGATTGTCAAGACATATTCCCTCATCAAGTTGATAAACTCGATCTCAACATGTATGAAGGACATAAAAGCCTGCCTTGTGAAAAACCGCGCTAATCTTTTGGTTTGAACACGAGCAGAGGTGAGGGCCTGTAGCAGTGAAAATGAAAGTACCCGCCCCCATGACGTCATTTAGCAGACCTAGTTGAAAAGCAGACAGATCAGGTAGCATAATTTACATTTACATTGCTTTTATCCAAAGCGACTTACAAATGAGGACAAGGAAGCAATTTACACAACTAAGAGCAACAATGAATAAGTACTAAAGGCAAGTTTCAGGTCTGTAAAGTCTAAGAAGGGAAGTATTAGTAGTATTAGTTTATTTATTTATTTATTTTTTTGTACAGTTAGTGTGATATTCAAAGAGGCAATTGCAGATTAGGAAGTGAAGTGGAGACTAAATAGTTGAGTTTTTAGTCGTTTCTTGAAAATAGCGAGTGACTCTGCTGTTCTGATGCAGTTAGGGAGTTCATTCCACCAACTGGGCAGATTGAGCGCGAGCGTTCGCGAAAGTGATTTTTTCCCTCTTTGGGATGGAACCACGAGGCGACGTTCATTTACAGAACGTAAGTTTCTGGAGGGCACATAGATCTGCAGAAGTGAGTGCAGATAAGAAGGTGCTAGGCCAAACGCATTTTGACACATCATTTCAACCTTCAGACGAGAGCGCCTGGCCTCAATGCGCCCTGCTGCACTGAAGAAGCGCTCGCTCGCAGCACTTGTTGCTGGAATGCATAGAATTCTCTTGACAAGGTGCTGTAGTCGTGGGAATGACTGCCTTGTTTCTCCCAAAAGGAAAGTAGATTTTCCTCTGCTGATCCGTCTATACTTAATTTTGTAGAGGAAGACTTCTGTACTTCATCCAGAATTAGTGTATCCGATTCCTCCTCTCATTCTGTGAAGTCAGTCCTAGGCTTTTTCGTTGGTGCGCCAGCTATGTGTACAAAACAGTACAACCGCCCACCACCCGCCCGAATTTAATTAAAATATTATTTTTCGTCACATCATCCGCCCGATCCGCGGTTTATCCGCGGATTCCGCGGCTGTAACCGCCATCTGCGCATCTCTAATATGCTACTCTGCTTCACTGTAAACAGTGTGTGCCTGTCGAAAAAGTCCCCAGTCTGACGTCACCGAGTAGAAAGAATAAAACGCAAATTTTCCGGAAGTGGGAAAACAGCCACATTTACTTTAAAATTTGTGCGCTTGCGTTTTGTAAAACTATTAATATGGCATTTTATGGTATTATAGAGTATTTTCACAAACCATTCTACCTTTATTTAAATAGTTTTTTAACCTACAATATGCTCTTTAATTTTGGAACTTTTTTTTCATACAAGTTCTTAATCTTTTTTTTTTTTCAGGAGGTAAACCAGCAAAAACATGGACACAAACTTCTCTAAACATAACAATAACGGCACTGACAGTTGCAGTAGTTGCAGTATTAATAGATATTGCAGGAACAACAGGAGTAGTTAACACAGTTGCAGGAGCAGCAGCAGGAGCCGCAGCAGGAGGGGGTATATACATTTTAAGATCATTACGGGAACCAGAAGTGAGGCGAGAAGCAGAAATGGTGGGAGCAGCAAGTTCAGCCATAGCAGGAGGTATAGCAGGAACAGCTGCAGCAACCCTGCTATCATTAATAGGATGGTCACAGAGAGGATCATCAGTAGTTGGAGCAATAGCAGGAGCAGCAATAGTGGCAGTTACAAGAACATATTTACAGCATGCTACGAGCACAATACTACAGGCTATATACAAAGTGATGAATGTGGTAGCTCTATTGAAACAAGTAATATCAGTAAAAAACGAAGTATTAATTCCAGCAACAATAGCCAAAGCAGGAGTTGCAGCATTAGGCAGTTTTAAAGCAACAGCAGGAACAGCTGCAACAAGTGTATTAGCAAGAGGATTTAGATTTGCAACAGGAAGAACAGGAGGAGGAGGAGCAGAAGAAGCAGGCTTGGGAGCAAGAGGACTGGAACAAGAGCAGGTGGAACAGGAGCAGGAGCAACAGGAGCACGAGCAACAGGAGCAAGAGCAAAAGGAGGAGCAGCAGCAGCAACATGAGCAGGAGAAACAGGAGCAGGAGGAGCAGGAGCAACAGGAGCAGGAGCAGCAGGAGACACAGGAACAGGAGAGGGAGAAGCAGGAGGAACAGGAGCCACATGTGGAGCAGGAGGAACCGGAGCAGAAGGAGCTGGGGGAACAGGAGCAAGAGGAACAGGAGCAGGAGAAAAATGAGCAGGAGCAGGAGGAACAGGAGCAGGAGAAACAGGAGCAACAAGTGCAAACAGAACAGGAGCAACTTGAGCAGGAGGAAAAAGGGCAGGAGGAGCAGGAGCAACAGGAGCAGGAGGAACATGAGCAACAGGAGCAGAAGAAACAGGAGCAAGAGAAGCAGGAGCAACAGGAGCAGGAACAGGAGGAACAGGAGCAACAGGAGCAGAAGGAACAGGAGCGAAAGGAGCAGGAACAACAGAAGCAGGAGGAGCAGGAACAGGAGGACCAGGATCAGGAGCAGGAGGAACAGGAGCAGAAGGAGCAGGAACAGGAGAAACAGGAGCAGGAGGAACATGAGCAACAGGAGCAAAAGGAACAGGAGCAGGAGCAACAAGACCAGGAAGAAACGGAACAGGAGGAGCAGGAGCAACAAGTGCAAACAGAACAGGAGCAACTTGAGCACGAGGAACAGGAGCAGGAGGAGGAGCAAGAGGAGCAGGAGCATCAGGAGCAAAAGGAACAGGAGCAGGAGCAACAAGACCAGGAGGAAACGGAACAGGAGGAGCAGGAGCAACAAGTGCAAACAGAACAGGAGCAACCTGAGCAGGAGGAACAGGAGCAGGAGGAGCAGGAGGAACAGGAGCAGGTGGAGGAGCAGGAACAGGGGGAACAGGAGCAGGAGGAGCAGGAGGAACGGGAGGAGGAGCAGGAACATGAGCAGGAGGAGCAGGAGGAACAGGAGCAGGTGGAGGAGCAGGAACAGGAGCAGGAGGAACAGGAGGAGAAGCAGGAGGAGCAGGAACAGGAGGAGCAGGAGGAACATGAGCAGGAGGAGCAGGAGAAACAGGAGCAGGTGGAGGAGCAGGAGGAGCAGGAGCAGGAGGAACAGGAGCAGGAGGAACATGAGCAGGAGGAGCAGGAGGAACAGGAGGAACAGGAGCAGGAGGAGCAGGAACAGGAGGAACATGAGCAAGAGGAGCAGGAGGAACAGGAGGAGGAGCAGGAACAGGAGGAGCAGGAGGAACATGAGCAGGAGGAGCAGGAGGAACAGGAGCAGGTGGAGGAGCAGGAGGAACAGGAGCAGGAGGAGGAGCAGGAACAGGAGGAGCAGGAGGAACATGAGCAGGAGGAACAGGAGCAGGAGGAGCAGGAACAGGAGGAACAAGACCAGGAGGAAATGGAACAGGAGGAGCAGGAGCAACAGGAGCAAGAGGAACTGGAGCAACAGGAGAAGGAACAGGAGCAGGAGGAACATAAGCAGGAGGAGCAGGAGGAACAGAGCAACAGGAGGATCAAGAGGAGGATCACAGAAGGATCAAGAGCAACAGGATCAAAAGGAACAGAAGCAGGAGCAACAAGAGAAAGAGGAACAGGAGCAACAGGAGTAGGAGGAACTGGTCTGTCTATAAGCTGACATACGAGTGATCTGCTGATGAATCGACTGATCTTCACGGCTTTAAAATGCTCCAGTGTCCCTGTATGTGTTTGACCTACGATGAAGAGCTCATTGCTCAATTCACCTGTGATTCTCTAATTTGATCCACACTGGCCATAATACTCCAAGGGTCAACAAAAGTATCCTCAAAATTTACAATTTAATTAAAAATAAATCAAATATAAAATTTCATTTGTCAAGTATAATTCTATTACGCCAATTGCAGAATAAAAACAACGATAAGCCTGTTCAGAGATGATTCATATACAATATCAATTGCTCAAAGATAAATAAAGAGTTAGAGATGCATACTATGAGCGAACAATACCAACAGAAACATGTTGTTTGGATCATATTTTAAACAGCTCCTTTGATAGAAAGTTGAATGTCAAAGAAAACTTATGAAATGTGTTATAAAATGTAAGGATAATTATCGATTACTTTTACACAGACTTTTACAAAGTCCCGTACCTTATTAGTCTTTGCTGATCCTTCCTTTAATAGCAAACGGCCAGTGAATCCCACGTTGAACTGCACGGTATTGTATTAATCATCAGAAAACACAGCACAAGGTTGGCTATACTGTGGTATTGTTTAGAAAATACACTTCAACCGTTTATTCCCCACAACCGCATCTCTCAGTGATGGCAAAATCATCTTTTCCAATGGCAAAAGGTTTGAACTCAAGGCAATTTATATAAACAACACTGTGTCGACTATTTTTTTTTGAGGAATCAATTAAACACGGTTCACTTTCAGATTTAAGGCTCAGCTAGATGTTTTAATTTACTTGTGTTACACTCGATGTGGAAGGTCATTTTTAAAAACCCATAAAATGGGCTCTTTAAATCAGCTTACCAGAAATTAAAGTTTGTTAATTGAAACACTGGAGAACTTTTATGCCGAGTTCAGACTGCATGATTTTCAGAGTAGTCGTGTCACAGATGTTTTCACACTGCTTGACTATCTGGGCTAGCGTTTCGTCGCTGCTTTGTTTACACTGCAAGATGGATCGCCGACAAGGACTTTCACATTGCATGACTTTACTATAGGAAGAATCGCCGACAACTTCGTCCAAACTACGTCTCACAGCCAAAAACACGTCGTATATCTTTTGTTATTAACTACATAATGAGAAAGAAGCCTTTAATAGGGTTGAACATGTACATGTTTGCTCACCTGGGTTTAAAGGGAATTAGCCATTTCTCCTTAACGTTGATAATAAACTCATTTCTTTCTGTATGAAACATCAAACAGACACGGTTGCTCTTGAGTCCTGTAAAACCTCCACTAGTTTTTCCTCTATTTCGTGGGTCCAAATAAACCAAAAATGAGCGCTTTTAACTTCTCCCCCAGCCTCCCGCTGGCCTGCAGCAGGTATACACACACGCACACACACACACACAAGTGAATGCTGCTCTCTCATTGGCTGTAGGCGATCGCCGATGTTATTTTCAGTCAAAACTCAATTCACACGGCATGATTTGAATCGCCGACAGCTCCAGATATTTAGCATGCCAAATATCTCACAGGCATTGGCGATTCTCTCAGATCGCGTCTTTGATAGTTCACACTGTGTGATTGTCACTCACGTGCACGAGCAGCGATTTGCCTGTGATTTCAGGCATTTGTCTGCGATTTCTCAAAACCTGTCGGCGAGCCAAAATCAGGGCTAAAATCACGCAGTCTGAACTAGGCATTAATTACAGTTTTAATTTGTCTTATCTTATTGAACCAGACAGATGTTAGTTGACACACTGGTGATAATTGTTCTTGTTTATATATATATATATATATATATATATATATATATATATATATATATATATATATATAAAATTCAGAATTATTAGCCCCCCTGTTTATTTTTTTCCCCAATTTCTAGTTTAACGTAGAGAAGATTTTTTTCTAAACATAATAGTTTTAATAACTAATCTCTAATAACTGATTTATTTTATCTTTGTCATTCATTCATTTTCTTGTCGGCTTAGTCCCTTTATTAATCCGGGGTTGCCACAGCGGAAAGAACCGCCAACTTATCCAGCAAGTTTTTACGCAGTGGATGTCCTTCCAACCGCAACCCATCTCTGGAAAACATCCACACTTACACACTCATACACTATGGACAATTTAGCCTACCCAATTTACCTGTAACACATGTCTTTGGACTGTGGGGGAAACCGAAGCACCCAGAGGAAACCCACGCAAAGGCAGGGAGAACATGCAAACTCCACACAGAAGCCTTATCTTTGTCATGATGACTGTAAATAATATTTGACTAGATATTTTTCAAGACACTTCTATACAGCTTAAAGTGACATTTAAAGGCTGACCTAGATTAATTAGGTTAACTAGGCAGGTTAGGGTAATTAGACAAGTTATTGTATAATAATGGTTTATTCTGTATACTATCGAAAAAAATATATCGCTTTAAGGGGCTAATAATTTTGACCTTAAAATGGGTTGAAAAAAAATTAAAAACTGCTTTTATAGTAGCCAAAATAAAACAAATAAGAAAAACACATGATCAGACATACTGTGAAAATATCCTTGCTCTGTTAAACATCATTTGGGAAAATTTTATTAATTATTATATTATCTGACTTCAACTGTGTATATATATATATATATATATATATATATATATATATATATATATATATATATATACACACACACATACACACACACACATACATTTTTATCAGTAAGGTTCATGCCCTCATTCTGTAAAAAAATAAAAAAGAGTAAAGAAAATATGCAATCTTCAAGCATTTTATCTTTGATTTGATTTGTATACATTTATATTGTCCTGTAGGTTAGTTTTGTACAGACCTTTGTTCAGTATAAGCTGAATTTAAATATGATCTATAAATCACTTTTAATTGATTTGTTTTACTTAAATTTTTTCACCATAAATGTTATTGTTCAACTATGTATGTCCTAAATATAATGACACATACCTTGTGATTTTTGGCAAAAAAATAAGGTTTGTACAAATTATAATGTCAGATTTCTACGTTTAGCGTTATCAGCAACAGCAGTTACAGTGAATTTTTCAAAGTACTGAATATTTTACTATTTATTTCTATTCAGCTGATTATTTCTTCATTTATTTATAATCAAACTACAGTTTCTAAGTTCTGTTTGTTAAAATCAAGTGTCTTGCAGTACAGTTGTTTGTAATAAATGCAAAGCAAATGACATTTGTCCTCCACTTCTTGACTGATCTGAAAAATAGTCCGACCCGTGACTAAAAAACTACTGTGTGATTCGAACCATGAGATTTGTGATCCGTTACACCACTACTAAATCAGTATATGATGAGTCTTCACAGAAAGTCAAGGTAGGGCACCTTGTCTCTCCTGCACTCAGCCTTAGTACAGGCTCCCCACAGGGATGTGTGCTGAGTCCCTTACTGTACACTCTTTATACACACGATTGCACTCCCTTCCATTATAGTAATTCTATCCTGAAGTTTGCAGATGATATTGCAGTGGTTGGGCTCATCACAGATGGAGATTTGACTGCATAGAGAGATGAAGTAAATAAACTGGCTTTATGGTGCACTGATAATAACTTGGCCCTCAATACCTTAAAAACAAAAGGTTTTTTATTGTTGTTGCTTTAGACCAGGGGTGTCAAACTTAATTCCTGGAGGGCCGAAGCCCTGCATAGTTTAGTTACAACCCTGCTTCAACACACTTACCTGTAGGTTTGAAACAAGCCTGAAGGACTCAATTAGTTTGATCAGGTGTGTTTAATTAGGGTTGGAACTAAACTGTGCAGAGCTGCAGCCGTTTTGGAACTGAGTTTGACACCTGTGCTTTAGATAAATAGGACTGCACTGAAGGGAAGGCCAAACGTAAATTTTGTTGTATTTTATACAGCGACAATAAAGATTCTGATTCTACTCAAAGGGATTTCTTCTATATAGTAACAGATGAGATATCCTAGAGTATATTAAACTTTTAGACATTCTCAAGTACATCAAACATTGATAGCTTAAAAGATTAACGGCATGCCTGTGTTCAAGGCTGGAATACTGTACAAAGGCTGGAGCAGACAGACCAGCAGCTCGCTTAACTGACTTCTGTGTACTGAATGTCTTAGGCCCTCTATTGTCAACGGAGGATAATGTAAAGGATTTTGTTTTGTTATTGTGATTGTTTTTTCTTTTTCACTGGATTGTTTATTAATTAAAGTGAACGTGATTTTATTAATTTTCTTCACTGGAGTGGACATTAGCTTCATTTGCAGAACATATCAAGATACCTTGTGTGGTAAGGTATGGATCTAATTAATTCCTTGAAAAACATTACAAAAGACAGTCCTAAACGAAACTCTAGCTCAGAAATACTGCCAAGAGAGGATACTGGTTTCTTTATTTAATTAGGGTATTAAATAAAGGTATCCAGTACAATGTCCTATTTGTGCCCTACTGAAAAAAAAAAAAAAAACAGCTTAAACCAGCCTAGGCTTGTTGGCTGGTTTTAGAGGGGTTTTGGACATTTCAGGCTGGTTTCCAGCCTTTCCCAGCCTGGTCTTAGCTGGTCAGCCTGGGAGATGACCAGCTAAGACCAGCTTGACCAGCCTAGCCAGACTGGAAGCCCAGCCAAAACCAGCTATTTCCAGCTTAAACCAGGCTGGTCAAGCTGGTTTTAGCTGGTCATCTTCCAGCTAAGACCAGGCTGGAAATGACAAAAAACTCAAAAACCAGGTCAACCAGCTTAAATCAGCCTAGATCTAAATCAGATCTTTCAGCAGGGATAGTGCAAACCATGAGAAATGGTGGTAACAGTAAATTATAGGCTCTTTGTACAAAACTAACAAGTGAAATGGACATCCCTAATATTCAAAATTCTTATATATGTGTTAACAACAATTAGCCAAGAGACCGTCAACAAACCATTAACCGTCAAGGTAAACAAAGTCTTTTATATTTCGCAAACAATACCTTAAGTGTGGCCTTCATCATCCAGAAGATAAGAGTGGAAGAAATCTTTTAAACTCCCTTTGAATTCGTTTTCACTGAGAGCACTCTAAAAGTGCCGATTTTACCTTTTGTAACGTTAGCAATAATCATTTCACCATATAAACTTCCCAATGTTTACACACAGCGCTTTTCCAAGACAACACTGACCTCTACTGGATGGAAGTAGAAGTGTCAGAGATTGGAAGATTTTTAGGTCATCTACAATAATGCGATTTTGACCTGGTTTATTTACTTCATTAATAAGCCAAAAGATAAAGTTAAAGATAAAAGGGGAAAGAAAACACCGGTTCATTCATTCATTTGCCCATGAAAGTCTTATTACATACTACTGTATACACAAATTAAAATCATATCTGTTATATACAGGCAAAATCCTGTGAAATGTGTATTTGTTATGGATTTTTTGGTATATGATATTTATTTATATGAAAATTAAAATAATATCCCTCCTGTGAAATATTTATCCCTGTTCAAATATTATTCAAGTGATATTTAATGTAGCAGGTAAGTTTCGTTTTGGCTGGAAAGAAAGCATTCATTAAAAAAAAAAAAAACATTTTAATGTCCATATTATTATCCCCCATTAGCAATATTTGTTTTGGATTGTCTAAAGAACAAACCACTGTTATACAATGACTTGCCTATGTCACTTTAGGCTGAATACTAGTATCACTAGCTATATAATGATAGAGCCAATTCAGTGGATGGGGATGATTGGGAGGACATGATGGGTAAAAACCGATGGAGTGAATTTGGCCTGGACACTGGGATTACAACCCTACTCTTTACATGGAAATTTTAAAGGGCCATGAAACCCCCTCGTTTCAGCAGGGTTTTTTCACACCTCAGAAAAGTCAGAAAAGTGGGCGTGTCCAGCTCTGTTTAGGGGGCGTGTCAGAGGAGGGAAAGAGGGAAGGTCTGTAAAAATTTGCATAAAAATGGGAGTGTCGGTTTGGGAACGTGCTGATTTTCACAGAGTCAAAACAAACACCCAGACGCAGGGCAGAAAAAACGGTGACTGTGTTTACATGGACATCATTAATAGCAGAACAGAACAGTAACAGAAAACAGTAATCAAATTATTTGCCAAATTATTAAATGTTGGCCTTTAACTGCAGTTTAGCTCTTTCATTCAGGAATTTCATTCATGCCCCTCTTGACAAGCAAGGTATTTGATTCGAGGAATTGCTGGAAGCTTCTATTTTTAATACAATGTTTGATACCGCACGGCGAATGAAAGAAAACCTCTGCATTTCACTCAGATGCACTCGGTAGCGTCAGAAAACCTTGCGTGTTATTCCTGTCAAATGCTACACGAGGGTAAGTTTGATAGTGGTGCTTACATGTTTACACTCGGAGAGCAGCATTTACAGCGGATCTTTCAATCTATAATACTGTAGTGATATTAACGTACGGTACACTTTATTAATTTAGAAATCATTTGACTGAGGTCCGTCTTTAAACACTGAAAGAGTACTGCTGACAATACGAACTATAACTTTGCCATCTGAATAAACAAATAAAGACCACTGGTCGCTCACTTACCAAATCTGTAGAGACAGGAAAATCAACACCAACTGGAGCCGTGTCTTTATTAAAAGGAGACGAGCGGCAAATTCGAATTTCAGCATTTCCAGATGGGACACGCATTTCTGTCGCACGTTGCGTGCACTGTAATCCACACATGATTCCAGCTGCGCTTTCATAGAGGGAAAATGAAAATTCTATACAAACCGGAGGTACAAATTTGCTCGAAATAACGCACAAACGACCTATTTTCACTTTTTAGTGAAATATATATGTCCTAATAGTGTTTTTAGCAGCGCGAGACACATACACGACTGTCAACAGCTCAAAACATGTGTTTTGGTGTTTCATGACCCTTTAATGACCACAGAGAATCGGGACCTCGATTTAACATCTCATCCGAAAGATGTCACCCACTGACAGTATAGAGTCCCCTTCACTATACTGGGGCGTTAGACACAGACAGCAGACTGAGCACCCCCTGCTGGCCTCACTAACACCACTTCCAACAGCAAGCTAGTTTTCCCATTTGTACTCCCATCCAGGAATTGACTTCAGCCCTGCTTAGCTTCAGCGAGATTGAGTCTTGAGTTGCAGGGTAATATGGCTGTAGCATTGTTTTTATTTACAGCACAAAAGCATATCCTCGTAAAACTGTAGTGTAATTGAATACAAGAGTATTGTGTAAAAATATATTTATAATATCGCACAGAGGTCAATGAATTGAAACAACTTCATTTCATTATGGTTTACTGGCATCATTTAGAATCATTAAAGTAAACTACAGTGATTTTTACCCCTCAGAATATTTACTGCCAAGAAAATATGACCATATTATATATCAAAAATAAAGAACCAAAACTCTGCTTGATAAAGAGGAAAAAAGGCATTTTATTCTATCTTCATATGTTCATGTTTGATCAAATTAGGTTTACTATAAACTGTTATATAAGACTGAAGGGCTTTAATCTTTGATAACAACCTCCTGGATGTACTTATTACATAATTTCTTGCCTATAAACAGACAAATAAAACAGGAAAAAAAAACATTGTTCTGAGCTGTAATAAATATTTTTTTTATTAAATGCAAAGCTGGCAGGAACAAAAACAGCTGATGGAGTATACACTAACCTGCACATTTTTCTGTCACAAGATGGCGCCAAACAGTCAAAAAACATGGCATGACAGATAAGAATATATAAATGAATGTGGGTGTATTTGAAGTTTCTTGATGAATCTGTGTTATTTAGCAGTTGTTATCTGGAAACAAAATACTTTGTAATGTCACAACTGACCAATCAGAATCCAGCATTTCAGACAGCCATTTAATAAGTAAGGAATAAATTACATCCAGGCAGTTGTTAATGCATTTCATTGCACGGCTGTCTGGAATACTCGATTCTGATTGGTCAGTCATGACATGGTATGGTGTGATATCCCAAGATAACCGCTGAATAACACAGGTTCATATGGGAGCTTTAATAACAAATGCACATTTAATGCACTGTGTTTTGGCTCAGAGCAAAATATAGTGCTTTTTCTCGATTTTGTTTGGTCTCCTGCATAGAGCACAGTTCAGGTCACTCCTTATTCCAGTGCTGTTCAACACATACACAGTATTACACCACAGATCTTTCTGCTTCTTTCTTGTCTTGGTTTCAGTGACTCTAAACGTCTCATATGGAGGAATCAACACCTCTTTCTCACGATCAAGCATGGAATAATCAGTAATATCAGCACCTGCACAAGTGTGAATCTCAAAACAAGACACACTTCCAAAAAACATTGCTTTGTTACGAATATAAGAGGAAGATGCAAATGAGCCAAAACGAACAGTGTTGTCGAGAAGTTCATACTCTGACTTTGTACCACGAAAAGTATCAAAGCATCTATTTTGAGTTGTTTTCAGAATCTGTAAGGCCTCTGTTAACAGGAAGTGAAGTGAATACCAGTCGTATTTCTCATTTGTGTAGTTTTGCCTGCCATGATGAGTGGCATTATTGAAATCACGAAACAGTTTTAACCCAGTGTACAGATAGATGGCAATTGAATGATTATTTGTCAAGTTATTTTCTGGCTTCTTAAAAGATCTTTCAGCCACTTTCCAAGCTTCCTTGAACGATTTAGAGTTATTGAGTTCCTTCGGCAGATATTTTGTTTTCACCAGATCTGCCATTTTTTTGGTACATCCCTTATACTGATCATCAACTGAATTTAATGCCATGTCCAGTGGATATCCAACAGCAGTGACTCTGTGATCCTGCAGTGACAGGGATCATCATGATCAGATCATCAGTGTTGATGTGTGTAATGATATTGATACTAGAACACAAGCTCACCTGTAGAACAGCTACAACGAGGAGAACAGCTACAATCCTCATCTTCATTCAGTTAAATCCCAGATACAAAGATGAACAGATGCTGAAACACAACAGGATTTCAGATATAGGTGCAGATAAATTAATTTGTCCTCCTGTCAAAATTGTATCATGTAAATTATCCTGCTAAATAATTAAATATCTGTTAATTAATTAATCAGTTTTCGTATTTAGTGATTCACAAGTGTATTGATGGTTGTGAATTGCATTATGGGATGTTGATCTCTGCTCTGTCGACTTTTGATGTTAAAAATTGAACTCAAGTTCAATTTAACAAAGTGACTTTTATTGACAATTTAAATGTGTGAAATAATACTATAATGTATAAGAATTAATATATAGAGAAGTAAGACAAAAACAACAAAAAAATGTACTGGCAGTTTATTACAGGAGTTTTTAAGCATATGGCCCATTTCCACTGAGTGGTACAGTACTGTACACCATAGTTGTTTACAAGGCCGTCTAAAGTGCGAGCGGTTTCGTTTTCTTGCGTGTGCTTGCCGCGCTTCTACATTTGAAATAATGAACTTTTTGAGCCCATTGTAATAACGTACGTGTGATTATTAAAGTGCTTCTGACACCCGATCCTTTCAGAAACGGACAACGCGAGTGAAACGCGAAAAACAAAGGAGAAGCTGGAAAAAAAAAAGAAGCAAATAGTGCTGTCAATCTATTAAAAAAAATTAACTAATTAATCGCACCTTTTTAAAAAAATTAATCGCAATTAATCGCATTTAAAATACTGAAACTTGTAATTTTGGCTATTTAAATGTAAAATTAATGTAAACGCAAGACAAAAAATATTTAAATTCAAAATATAATTGTTTAATAGAATTTTTGTTTAACTTGTAACACAGATTTCTTCATGTAAACAACATACCCACAATAAACCATCAAGATCCTGGCTTGACAGCCATATTTATTACAGAAATTAAAACACAGGCATGTTAATGACATTTAAATTTCAAAACAATCAATGCCAATAAAGAAAACATTGATTTCCATGCTGGATTCTAAGTGGACTGCAAAAAAATGCCAAAATACAGGAATTGCAGATATGGAAAATGAAAAATTATAACAATAAACTAGAGAACACAAACTGTTGCACTCATTGTAAAGTTTTATTGCTGTGAGTTGAGAACATTAGTTATAGAGTAGAAACAATTTAGCTTAATCCTCCTTTACATTCATCCAGTTGCTAAGACTAGGAGTATCCCGCAAGTGCACAGAGACTCCCAAATGCGCGCAAATGAATGATAATTTCTTGCAAACCGGTCGTTAAATACATTGCACACCCCTCTCGCCCCTACTCAGATACGTTGCTCACTCCACCCCTGACACCCCTCAACGGGCCTGACACAGACACACACAGACACACACACAACGCACTGCAGACGTTTTGGCCCCAACGGCCTTCCATACTGGAGCAACTCCCCTCAGATTCAACACGCATGATCACGTTCATCAAATTTGCTTAAACTAAGCGTCCTAAAGTATTACTGTATTTCACAAGGATTCTGACACAACAACGCAAAGCATACGCTTTCGTTGCGTTTAATGAGGAAACACGCTAAACTTGGAGGGCTCATGCTGAAAGGCAGAGTAATGCCCTGTTTTTGACAGCTCGCGACTTCACCAGAGGCTTTCTGATTACATTCACATAAGACACCAATACTCCGATTTTAATATGATTAATACTCTTATTAAAAGTCTACCGTGTAGCCTTAAAAAGAACCTATCCTTAAAGGAACACAGAGTCACGAAATGCGGAGAATTTTCTTTCTGTTCGCCATGCGGTATCAACTTACAACAGAAGTCGAAAGTTAAAAACGAAACACCCGAAATTGCATGAAACTTTGAAGAGCCTGGTGATGCGACTAATTGTTTTATACTGAAACTTGCCTTCAAAAAGTGCTTCCTTGGTCTTATCCACATTTCTTGCCTGTTAAACACACGTCCACCACAACAGGTAGTAAAAAAACCTGCAACTGTGTTAATTGCGTTAATTATTTTTAACGCGTTAATTATTTAAAATTAATCGCATGCGTTAACGCGTTAACTTTGACAGCGCTAGAAGCAAATAATTCTTTCAGCTACCTAAAACATGAACAAACCGCCATGCTTAATTATTTTCATCACCTTTTGGACAAATATGATCTTGAAATTACTTTCTAATAAGGTTAGAAAGTAGGTTACCTGTGCTCTGACTGTGGGCTATATGTTGCGTGTTGTTTACGAACCCAAATAAGGACTAAATGCATGCTGTGTGTAGTTTTTCTGTAATTGGGAATGGTATATATGTTACATTTATTTATTTTATGTAATCGCTGACGTTTGGCTATTTCACACTATCATTGGTCTGCAGTTCATAATCAAATCATGTTTATAGAAAGGTTAGTAATAAATATTTATACACAAGTATTTATGTGTGCAAATAACCCGTACAGCTTTACTTTGACATTTGGTCCAGTGAGAATGACGTCGACTGAAACTTTCTGTCGTACACCACGCCCACCATTTCGGCAGTGGAAACGCAAGCTTCCACTCAGTGGAAACGGGCCAATATGCAACATCAAACCAGACAATATAGCACTGCAAACTTAAAAACGTTCATAGTTAAAGTCAAAGTTTTCAGCATTAAAAATATGTTGGAAGAAAAATCAAGGTCCCATAATGCATTTCAAAAGCATAATGCGATATATATATATATATATATATATATATATATATAGTACAGTAGTTACTAACCTAATAAGCCTTTAAATTTTACTGAAAACAATTTAGCTGAATAACAGTATTTTGCGAAATATCTAGTCAAATACTATGTACTGTCATCATGGCAAAGACAAAAGAAAAGAGTTAGACATTAGACATTAGTTATAAAAACTATTACATTTAAAAATGTGTTGATTTAAAAAAAAATAATATCAGTAATTTTGCCATATTTTTTTTCTACAAAAAATGTATCATCATAGTTACCTGTGAATGTTTCTTTTCCTCGAATTCTCTGTTGTCTTCAGGAACAGTGATGCAAGAACAATCGTTGACAGCCAGACGACAACAATTCTTCAGACTAAGAGATGACAGGGTTAAAGTTGTCTTATATATGACTACTAAATGTTAGTGTGTGTGTGTTTTCTGAGAAATAACACCTAAAGTGTGAAATTGGCACAAGTAGCTCAGCTAAATTTCTGAATAACCTTCGAAGGACTTAGGGCTTTGTGGTTTCACACTGGACAAACTGTTTAAGACATAAGAGAAGACTTTAACAAGTTAACAAACGTTTAACACCACATCAGTTGTCCATCAGCAGCTTTGACTATATGTGACCCTGGGATGACAAAACTAGTCGTATAATCCATAGGAAAATAGCCAAAAATTCATGTTTTTCTTTTATGCCCAAATAATTACAATATTTAACAAAGATCATGTTTCATTATACATATTGGAATTTTGCTAAATTGTTTGATAAGTGTGTAAAGTATTTGATAAATTTCCTACTGCACTTATATCAAAACTAAACTTCAGTTAGTAATGTGCATAATGTGCAATTAGGAAACTTTAAATGTATTTTTTCTCTGTTTTCTCTTCTTTTTTTTATTTGCACCCTTGGTTTCTATAATTTCAAATGGTTGTTGTATCTTGTCTCAATGGCACCTTCATATGCATAAAATTGAAAAAGTAAACACATCAATTAAAACAACTGAATCAAAACTAATGACTGGTTTTGTGGTCCAGGATCCGATATGTAAACATTACAGATGCACCATCAATAGATACTAAATGAAATGACTGTGGTTTGAAGGTTGTATTTGATCATGAATACACCATTGATTGGGCAAATGCAGAACTGGGAACATGTACATGTATGTGTATGTATATGTACATGTACATACATGTATGTGGTTTCAAATCAAAACCTGTGAATGTGCTGATATGACAAATTGTATTTTAATTACCCTCATGAGAAAGAAATCATACAGTTAAAGGGATGGTTCACCCAAAAAAGGAATATCTACCTTTTTTTTTGGTTGTGGAGAAGATATTTTGAATGTGACGACCCCAGGATTCCAGTATGGATGTGGCAGATCCTGATTGGGTGCCATGGTTGCTCCCCAATTGGTTCAAAGCATATAAAAGTGAGTGTGTGCTAGCTTCTGGAGGACGGTGTGGCTACTTGGCTGTTGTTGCGTTAAGACCATCTCTTTATTTTGGCAACCTTATGGTTTTGTTTGGCATTATTTATATGTGTAATATATATGTGTTGTAGAGTGCAGATACGCACTCTACAACATCAGAAAGATTCGACCCTTCCTATCCGAACATGCAGCTCAACTCCTTGTTCAAGCTCTTGTTCTTTCCAGACTGGACTATTTCAACTCTCTACTAGCCGGGCTTCCAGCTAACTCTATCAAACCTCTTCAGATGCTTCAGAACGCAGCAGCACGAGTGGTCTTCAATGAACCTAAACGAGCACATGTCACTCCACTACTCATCCGTTTGCACTGGCTGCCAGTTGCTGCTCGCATCAAATTCAAAGCTCTGGGGCCTCATGTACGAAGACTTGCGTGGAAATCTTACTAAAACATTGCGTACGCACAAAGCTGTAAATGTGCGTACGCAGAAAAAAATTCAGATGTATGAAACACTGCGTACGCCGAATTTCACGCATATTCTTTTGTACATCTGAATGAACGTGAAACTGAGCGCAACATGCACGAGCACAAAACCCCTCCCTGCCTCCTCCCCCGTATGAATATGCTAATGACTCTACTTTGGCAAAACCCAACCAAAAAGCAATGACAAAAGTAAACAAAAAGAGAAACTTTGAACAGAATGTGAAATGGAGGTGCTGCTTTCGGAGGTAGACCGGAGAAAAGCGGTGTTATTTGCAAGTTTGTTCTCCGGAATTAACAACAAAAGAAAAAATAGAGTGGGAGAGTTTAGCTGATGCGGTTAACACAGTTGGGTCTGAACATCGCACTGAGTGAATAAGAAAAAAA